TTCTGCCACACCCCTGATCTTCTGGTAGGAAAGATCTACACCTAGCCTTCTCGGACAAGGGTGAAAAATCTCGGAGGGCCCGTGTGCAAGTTGCGCACGTTAAAGATCCCTTGGTGGTCTAAAATCGATAAGAGTAGGCTTCGGCCGCCAGCCGGGCAAAATTCCAAATTTCCTACCAAATGAAAATATTAGGTGTGTCCCGCGCGCTCATATGACCTTATGCAGTTGCGAGCGCCGTAAAACACTTTACAAAAACAAAAAACAACAAAACCTTACTCAAACTAAAAACAAAACACAAAAGAACAACGAAGTCCCATTTTCTATTGTCTTTACGTGTGAAGTGACTGTTTGTCCATTGTGGGGATCATCGTTTTCAGCAGGAGCGACCGCGGCGCACTACTCCCACCCCACGCTCCCCTCCCCGACCCCATCTCATTCTTCACCGAGCTTTCCATATCATCATCATCATCATCATCATCATCATCATCATCATCATCATCATCATCATCATCATCATCATCAGTGCCCCTGAGTATATCGATGATGGAACCGAAAAAGAGCCTCGCTTTGGCTCGAAGATTTCTTCGTGGAGTCCACCAGACCCATTAAGGAAACAAACAAAAAATCATCATTATCATCAAGCATGTGCTTTTGGAACTACCGTTCAATCTTGACAGAGAAGCCTGTGTCTTGATTAATAATATGAGTATTTTTACACCCCAATCTACACAAATTAGATCATTCATGAGGCGGGCTTTTCACTGAGTCTGTCACAGCCAACTCGGGCTGGGGGGGGGGGGGGGGGGATTATAACATATCGGGAGAAAAATCGAGATTCTCAATAAAGATTAGTCCGCATCCGGGAATCAAACTCGGGTTTTCTGCCTGCGACAGCGAAGGGCCTAACCGCTACACCACAGACGCCAGTAGACTATAAAATAACCTGATCCTTCAATAATCCTTCGATTTCTTGTGTCAATAAAACCTGCAAGTACGGAAACATCTCCAGTTCCGAAAGATGCACACCTTTTTTGTCACCAGATTATGCAATATGGTGTGCACACCCGATAAACTATTCGATTTCTCGTTCGATAATCTCTTATTGTGATAATGCTGATGACGATGGAGAAATGCCGACAGTCTCACATGGCTTACCGCCAACTGTAGTGTCAGGCAGTGAAATGGCGACATGACACGCGGCTATAACCAGATATATGGGGCACAACGCGGTGGTATAAGGCGCTCGTCAAAATAGTCAAAGTGAAGAAACTTGCATTTTTTAGCCGGTTTGTGAATTTGTATCTTTTTTTTTGGGGGGGGGGGGTTGGCTCAACACCTTTCATGTCCATTAAAGAATTCATTTCTGTGTGGATTATTCTGAAAAACGTTGATTTAAATGCACAAAAATGCAAATTTTCAGTTACCACGGACTCTTAAGCTAAGGAAATAACTAATCTTTGGCTGCCATTTTCTCACTAATTTTACATCTGAAAACAGGTGACCCCACCTCCTTCTTTCGCAATTATCTCGACTACAATTCAAGGTAAATGGGTATTTTTTCATCCAAATAAAGACAAGTGAACAAGCTATAAGATGATACCAATAACTCTACATACCCAAAAATTGACGAGAGCCTGATTCCACCACGCTGCCTCACAAATGTTTCACGAAGCGATGGAATAAGGCCCTCGTCAAGTTTTGGGCATAATGTGGCGTTTTGGTATCATCTTATAACTTTTTTGATTTTGGCTTGCTTTCGATTTAAAAATTATAAATTTTATCTTGAATGGAAGTCGAGATATTTACGATTGAAGGAGGTAGGGGTTGCCTGGTCTCAGAGGTAAAATTAGCGACAAAATGGTCGGCAAAGTTTAGCTATTTCCTTAGCTGGAGAGTCGGTGGAAATAGAAAATGTATATTATTATTTTCAGTGTGTTTAATAGACGTTTGTCAGTACAATCCACACAGAAATGTGCTCTTCAGTGGACGTGAAAGGGGGCTAATCCCCAAAACAAAAAATTCGATAAAAATTCCCAAACCTGGGGAAACAATTCCCGTTTCCTCACGTTCAATATTTTGCCGAGCGCCTGATTTCTCCCCGCTGCCTCCCAAATCTCATTACGTCATCGATGTCTCATTGATCAGATTGACGCAGATTGGATGGATTAATGAGAAACACGGCTCGTGATAGAGAGAAAGGAGAGACGTGAAAGAAAGAGGGACAGAAAAATGATAATGCGTTAGAATGGGCAAACACCATCACCCATGGTCGATTCACAGCTCAAAGGAACAACGCTCAAATCTGAATTGGGTAGATTTACCAGGGACAGATGCGCTCTTCTCCGAAGCGGAAAGTCCGGGTTCGAGCCTCGGTTCGGACACAGATTTTTTCCGCCGCTTCCTACCCATCCAGCAGTAATGGGTACCTGACTTCGAGCTGGGGAAGTAAAGGCGGCGTGGAAAGGAACTGGCCACCCTACCACAATATGCCGAAGGCCCAGGAAGTTGTCTCACTAACAAGGCAATCCCCAATGTCCGGATCGGATGTGGGAACAACTTTACTTACTTTACTTCGGACATATGTGAGGCAGTGCGGTGGAATCAGGCTCTCGTCAATTTTTGGACATGAAGAGTTATTGGTGTCATCTTAAAGCGTGTTCACTTGTCTTTATTTGGATGAAAATAGTATCCATTTATCTTGAATACAAGTCGAGATATTTGCGAATGAAGGAGGTGGGGGTCACTTGTTTTCAGAGATAAAATTAGTAAGAAAATGGAACCCAATGATTAGTTATTTCCTTAGCTTAAGAGTCCATGGTAACTGAAAATTTACATTTTGTGTGCCTTTAATCAACGTTTTTCAGGAAAATCCACACAGAAATGAGTTATTTAAAAGGCATGAGAGATGTTGAGCCAAAAACAAAAAATTTTATAAAAATTCACAAACCTGCGGAAAAATGCAAGTTTTTTCACTTTGATTATTTTGACGAAAGCCTGATTCCACCACGCTGCCTCACATATTTTAACCTAATATTTCGTCCTAGAACTGTGTATTGGGTGTGGGTGGTTGGGTGTGGTTTGCTCCATTTTTTATACCAAACATCTATCGTACTGATTTCTCCTCCTTATTGTATGTGCTTGTTACTCTCTTGTATCACCTCTAATCTTCGGCACTGACATGGCCTTATTGAGTTGTAAGTGCAGTAAAACTCTTACTAACACTGTACTGATTACATTAATTATTGTATTGGATATCTGACAATTTAGAAATCAAAACCGATTTATCAGAAGCTTTCCGGGGGACAAATCTCACAATTTCTGACTTCATATTCGGCTGTGAACCATCGCCTTGTTGTACTAGTGGATACGCGCTTCTTCGACGCGTGCAGAAGACCTGAGTTCGATTCCCAAGTGTTTAATTTATGTAAGGTTTTACGGTGCTCCCAACTACATTAGTTCATATGAGCGCCAAGGGGGGGGGGTGGTGGAGGTCAACAGAGAAGTCCAAACAGAGAATCAGGCTTACTCTGCTCACCTCTGTAGCTTCAACAGCACAAAGTCTGCTTCGACTATCAAG